ATTCATCTTTGAATGACTATACTAGTCTAATGAGAACTTTTTTCTGAGGATTTAGAAGCACACACTTTTTGCAGCTATCCATAAGATATTGAGCACAATGATAAGTCTGACAGCCTATTTTCCATGTCCCTTGCTATCCTCTTCATCATTAAAGATATGAATAAGAGAGTTCACAACAAGTAACTAAAAGAAAAGAAAAGCAGCCCACCTGAAGGATCACAGGCAGGTACCCATCATAGGTCCCAGGGGTTACATATGCTGCATCCTAAGCTTCCAAAAAAATTTCCTCTGGGATGACTTTCATAGTAGTCAACAAGGTATTTATTCCTCACACACATTTGTTGAATTCAATGCCCTCTCCACAATTCCCCATTGAGAATTAAGAAATAAATGCTGCCATAGTAGAATGCAGATTGAAGACTCTAAGTATACTAAGGGAAAGTAATATGTCCGTCAAGTCAAGTGGATAAAAGATTAAGGAAACTGTGGAATAATTTTGTCAGTGGCTGGAAATCACCATGATGCATGTTTGGAATTGGTATAAGCAAGAAATTTCTAACTCATGAAAGCTGCTCATGATGAAACAGTTTCAGAAAGTAATGAACTCCACTGATTGGACATGCCCAAGCAGAAGCTAAATGACCATCTGTCAGAGATGTTATAGAAAGGAGTCTTTCATTGAGTAGGAGGTTATGCTAAATTATCTCCAAGGCTATTTCTAACTCCTGAGTTCTATAATTCAATGAAGTCGAGCTTGAGGAAAACCCCAAAGAACTATTAAATAGCTCTGTATACCCAATATATATATCAGCAGTTAATTTCAAACCAACCATTAACTTTACCTAAGCATTTAATTTGCCTCAGAAATTTGAAGAAAATGGTAATAAAAAAGGAAACAGAAAAAAAATCCCTTCCCTGCATGAATGATCTATTTAAATGGTTTTCAAATTGTGTTCTTTATATTTCTAGAGAACAGATGAAATTCTTGGAGTGTCTTCAGAGACAGCCTTCAGGCAAAAGAAGAGCAAGGCAGAAAAGGGAAGATAAGCAGGTAAGTTTCAAATACCCCAGATCCACTATAAACCAAGACACAGCAGCTTTTGTATCTTTGTATGTTCAACTTCTGAGTCACATATATTATTTGAAGAAGAAAAATCATGAATTAGGAATTTTAATCATTATTGAAATAATTCATTTATGTGTAATATAATTTCTGATTAAATCAGAATTTTTAAGTGATAGCAAGTAACATAATGTCATAGATACATTGAGAAAGTTATAGCAAAAAAAGACCAAATAAATATATTAATGGCTGTTCCAAAAGTCAACATTTGTGACCACAAGAATGTATGGATCACAGGTATTTGAGCATATCAACAACTGTATATTTTTCTTATTGCTATATTTCCTGAACCTAGAACAATTTTTGGTATAGAGTCAGTAATCATTACAAGTATAGAAAGCCAATTAATTGAAATGTCAGAGTTTTCTAATTTAGGTAGGTTTTTAAAATATCACATTGAATTATATATAATTCTTAGCACAAGTTTATATCTATATATACACATTCATATGTAAGTTTATATATATGTGATATATATAAAATTTTATATATCATATATATACACACACACAAGATAAGAAGTTCACAAAAGATCATCACTTCTGCCTTAATTCTGAGAGAACCCTGGATAAAATAAATGATTAAATATTTCTTAAAAGTCACTGAAGAACTGTAAATGCAATATGTTAGCTAATTCTGAGGGTGTGTTCGAAAGAAGTGAGTACCTTTAACTAGAAAACTATTTGCTGATAAAAGGTAGAAATTGCAGAATTTTTGGCTGCCATCCATTCTCTGGTATGGTAGACAATAACAGGAAGGAATCACAAACACAGGATTTTTCCTTCTCATTCACTATTTCTATCCAACAGGGCATTTCTGAAATAAGTGATTGGAGGGTATCAGGGCAAAACTGGACAGAAGCAATTTTCAATCTCATGCTGCAAGTGGAAACAGCCTCACTCCACCCTAGACATCCGAAACCAAAGGCAAACTGAAAGCCACTAACTCAGCTCAGAAGCAGCTCAACTCCTCATTGGAGAAAGACCAATCCCAAAACAAAGTAGCAAGCAACTCTAGCTACCCTACAAAGTACCAGACCCTTGTGAAAGAAAACGTTATCAACTTCAGTCTCTACTGTTCTTTCATACATCATCAATATACATTGAAAATTTATGAGAAATATGAAAGAATAGGAAATTGGGCTACTCAAAAATAACTATTAAAAATACCTAAAAACTAGCTAGTATTTGTTGCCCTTAACGCAGAGAAACTAAAGGAGATACCTTAAAGCAACTGAGGCCAATAGGAAAAGGGGAACAGGTACTAGAGAAAAGGTTAGATCAAAAAGAATTAACCTAGAAGGTAACACCCACGCACAGGAAATCAATGTGAGTCAATGCCCTATATAGCTATCCTTATCTCAACCAGCAAAAACCCTTGTTCCTTCCTATTATTGCTTATACTCTCTCTACAACAAAATTAGAAATAAGGGCAAAATAGTTTCTGCTGGGTATTGAGGGAGGGAGCGGGAGGGGGCGGAGTGGGTGGTAAGGGAGAGGGTAGAGGCAGGGGGGAGAAATGACCCAAGCCTTGTATGCACATATGAATAATAAAAGAAAAATGAAAAAAAAAATAGATCCAACAATTACCCAGAACAACTATGTTCAACATAGCAAGAATCAAAGCAAAACTACAAGAGAGTTACCTCTTTAAAATGCTCAGAGAAAAAATATCATCTTGAATTCTATACCCAATAAAAATATCCTTTGCATATGAAAGCAGCTAAAAAACATTTTTAGACAACTGCTGACATAATTTGCTCCCAGAGAACAATACTATTAGAAATTCTAAGGTCTGGTGGAGTGACTCAAATAGTAGAATACCCACCTACCAAGGTAAGGTCCAAAAAATAAGGGGAAAAGAAAGATATAAAAAGAAATTCTAAAAAAATTGCCCTCTGTCAAAGGCAAATGGTCTATGATAAGCACAGGTGACAAAAAGGAATAAAGAAAAACCAGAAAGAAATATAACAGGATACATGCAAAACAGTAAAAGTTTTTATTTAGAATAATGTTGACTGAGTAAAGCAGATATAACACTACATACAATACGTTCAAACCTTTGGAGTAAATTGTCTGCCCACAATAGCACAAAGAACAGAACAGCAGTGATTTTTATGTTGACTGCAAATTCGAAGTGGGCTGTGATAAATATTTTGTATCTTGGGTAACCATTAACAATACAACGATGAGTAGTAAAAGAGTCAATGGAGGATTACAGCAGTATACAAATATATCAGTTGACCAAAAAGAAGAGAAGAAAGGAACAATTAAACTGAAAATAATGGCACAAACACTGAACAAATAGAGAAAGGGTGGACTTAAAACTTAAGAAACGCCAGGCACAAGAGGCTCACACCTGTAATCCTAATATAACAAGGAGTATGATCAGAAGAAAACAGTCTAGGCCTGAGTCCTGAGAAAGTAGCAGGGAGGTAGGGATGGCATAGAAGAGAGACAAAACCTGAGAAATTTGAGCACGAGGAAGGTCATGTAGCACCAGGAAGGGGAAAGTCACGTAGCACTAGGGTAAAGTAACCAATAAAATTAAATGCAACCATATATGGATTAGACCTTGCTTTTTGCTTCTGTAACCTGCTTGCAAGGGTATAGAAGGTGAGACCCCTTTGTTCTCAGGGCTCAGCCTTTGGACACAAGTCCGCTGAGTCTGTGCTGGCACAATAAAACATTGCCTCCTGCTAATTGCCTCAAGAGTCCCTATCTCAGCTAGCAAAGTCCGGCAACACTAGCTGATCAGGAGGATCATGGTTCAAAGCCAACCCAGGCAAATAGTTCATGAGACTCTATCTCAAAAAACCCATCACGAAAAAAGGGTTGGTGGATTGGTTCAAGGTGTAGGCCCTGAGTTCAAACCCCAGTACCAAAAGAAAAAATAAGATACTAGTAATTAGTAATTGTGTTAAATATAAATAGACTGAATACTATAAAAATTATTGATTTTTATAATTATGTTGATTTTTATAATTATGTTATTTATATAAGAATCATACTCAAACATAGGATGTGGATAAAAAACATAAACCATGTAGGCGCTACTCTTAAAAGATGAAGTATGGCTATATTAATAACACAAAAGTAAACCTCAATAAAAGTATTCCCCCAGATAAAGACATTTGATAATAAAATGACAGTAAAGTAATCAGAAGGGGATTTCCTTTTTCCTCTCCTTTCTATTATCACTTCTTTTTCCTGAAAACAGTAGTATATGGACTTGCAATTGCTTCCACCTTCAAAGCGATCTGCTACTGAACATCCAAGACCATGACAAAAAAATTGAGGCACATTTATCTCTCTCCAAAAGTAAATTTGAATTATCTCTTTTATTTTACTTGAAAAACAGCTCATATTTAAAACTTTTACCCAACTCAAGGCTTTACTGAATTTTAATTCTCAGGAGAGCATTTTGTAAATAAAGCTGATTTAAATATTAGGAAATAAGTCATTTCATCTACTAGTGAACTAAGCACTGGGGATTTCAAAGATAAATAACTCCTGTCATTGGACTGCCCACAGGTTAGCTGCAGAGAGGAATCAGTGAGTAATGGCAACACATTCTGAAATGTACGCAGGGCTTCTCAGAAGCTATGTGAGCACAAGCAACCACCTGATCCATTTCAGATTCTGAGAGGAGGGTGGCCAGGAAGTGTGCAGTGCTGTATAAGAGTGCCCTGTGTGATAGGTCATAAATTAGAAGCACATCAAGCAAAGCTAATCTTCTCTGTGTCATCTGCAAGTGCCTTATGATTATTTTTAATTAAATGAAAAATAAATTTAAACATCAGGTCTAAATTCAATATGCAACAACATGAAGAGATTTTGAGCAATTTAGAATACCATTCACTAAAATTCTACTTGACTTACCAAAGATACCCTCTGAATGCATACTTCATCATTCCTCTCTATGACAAATGTCATCCTCATACCTGCAAAGTCCCAGAAAAATCAAATTGCATAAATAATATTGATCTTGAACTAGTTAAATACACTGTACTTATAGTCTCTCCTTGTTCAGTGTATCAATAGCCCTAAGAACATACAAAGACGATAAGCACAAGAAATACAATGATGGTCCACTTCCTTTTACACACCAAAAATTCATAGATATATTCATAGTTCAAAATGGCCAATTTGGTCAATAAGTTGAGTCACTAAGGAATTACCATATGACTATCTGAGTTTTCCATTTTCCTTCCGTTCTTGCCTATGTTCTTGAAAGAATAGAAATAACAACAATGTGGCAAAAAAAAAAGTAAAGAAGAAATTACTTGGTAGATATACAACTTATGTATTGTTAAATGATGGTTAAACCCAATGCAAACTTATCCCTTATATTAAATTGATTAAAAATATCACTACCTTGATTCTAAGTCTGTTCGTAAGTAGTGATGTTCTCCAATGTTACATCAATTTCAACATAACCTTCATGGAAGTCCTCTGAGAGCCAAGATCAAATCTTGTCTCTGCACTTTGAGCACAGCCTAGCACACTGCCTTGAATACGGGAGTATCAACATTGTTTTGCACAACACACTATGCTGCATATGTAATTCAACTTTCTTCTTGCTCTTAACATTTCTTTAATATTTAATTCCATAATATGTCTGTACTGAATAACAGATACAGCCTTTAAATCTTTCCTTCAATTCTCTTATAAGCTGCCCTTAACCTAGCTACTATGGTATGTATGCTTCTCCCAAATTTCACGTGTTGGAAACAGTCCCCAAATCCATATGCCCGTGGTGTTTGGAGAAGGGACTTTGGGGAGCTGGTAAATGGAGCTAATGGGGTACCAAGGGAATGGCTTTGCCTATAACAAGGAGCTCTCTGGCACACTTGCTCAGTAAGGCCATCACCAGACACCAGGCAGGGCCTGTACCATGCTCTTGGATTGCCACGATCCAGAACCATGAGCTAAATAGACCTCTACTTTTTATAAGTTATTCTGGCTCGGGTATTTTGTTACAGTAATAGAAAATACACTACATTACTGATTTCATTTCAATTATTTTTTTCACTTCTACAATTGATTCTTTTTTCCTCAAATATGTCTCCTAGTTTTATATTGTCTTACTCTTATTCAGAATTCAATCCCTTCTCTTTCTTTCACTATTTTTTTTCATTACTGGGGATTGAACTCGGGACTTTAGGCAAGCACTATACCACTTGAGCCAGCTACACCACCAGTCCCTTTTTGATTTTTTTTTTTTTAGTTCGTTTTTCAAACACGGTCTTGTGGCTGATGGAATGGCTCAAACTGAAAGCACATTCCTGCCTAGCAAGCATGAGGCCCTGAGTTCAAACCCCAATGCCAAAAAAAGAAATGGTCTTATACTTTTGCCCAGGGCTGGCCTCGAACCTCAATCCTCCCACCTCTGTATCCTGAATAGCTGGAATTACAAGTATGAAACAGCATCCCCAGAATGTTTTAGAGACAGTGTCTCACTATCTTTTGCTGAGGCTGGCGCCAAGCCCTGATCCTGCTATCATCACCTCCTGACATCACATTTTATAATTCTGTGTCTTACCATTCCTGTATTATGCTACTTTATGGGCATAATTCTTCTGCCTGCTCCCCTGCTTGCCTCTATGCATGAAAACCTGGTTTGTTTTTTGGTTTGATTACTTCTTAAACTTTATCTTTTTTTGTATTTCTTGAACTTCATCTGTGAAATTCTGCAAGCCTTATATATTTGCTTTTGCCACACAATAGCCAATCCAACTAAAGTCAACAACAGTAAGTAAGCCTACCCTTACTGTTAGACAATGAATGTCTGTGTTCCCCCCAAAATCTGTATGCTCACATCCTAATCCCCAGTGTGACATTAGGAGGCAGATCCTTTCAGAGAACCTTGTGAATGGGATTAAGGTCCTTTTAAGTAGAGACCCACCTGTTCATGCCCTTGGCTATGTGATATGTGAGGATACCACAAGACACTTTCTGCAAACCAGGAAGAGTGCCCTCAGCAGGCACCACATCTGACAGTGCCTTGACCTTGGACATAAAAGCCTCCAGAACAGTGACAAATAATCAAACTGACTGCGACCCTGACCTCAAAGAGATGCCTCACTTTCAAGTTATAATTGGGTTAGGCTCAAGGAGGACACATTAGTTTCTTCTACATGCCCTGACAAAGTATTGCCAATGTAAGTCCTTAAAACAATACAGATGTATTACTGTAAATTCTATTATGTCAAAGTCTGAAATGGTCTCACTTAAAATGAAGGTGTTCACAGTGCCACTTTCCTTTCTGGATCTCTAGGGGAAAAATTCATTTCCTTCCCTATGTGACCAGATCCCTTGCCTCACAGCTCTCTCCCTCCGTATCCAAAGCCCTAACTAGCTACTTGAGTCTCTCTCACATCACATCACTCTGACACTCACTCCAATGCCTCCCTCTCTTCCATTTTTGTGAAAACTTCAGATTACATTAGTTCACCTGGAGGATCCAGGATAATCTTCCTATTTTAAGATTATCCTATTAACTAATTTCCACATGCCATTTAACATTACATGTCCATGGGCTCTAAGAATTAGGGCAGGAGTGTCTGTGGGTGGGGCCTTATTCTGCTTATCACACAGAATGGTCCTTGAGTGGGTGCTTGACTTTCCTTCTTAGCCTGTAAATCCTGGGAGTCACAAAGAGCAAAGCCCAATGTCATCAGACTCATGAAATGCCTTCAAAGATCAAACTGATTTCAATTCTGTTTACTCCTATGGACTCCTTAACTGCCTTAACGTTTGTTGGAATTCTGCACGTGTCATGCATCAATGAATTTTTTATATTTTTTCCATAACTTTCAGTGTTTGGGGGAAAAGAGTTGGTCAGGATAACTTATCCACTATAGTACCATAGATGGATGAAAGCAGTGTACTTTTTAAAAGATACTCATCTGTTAATTTCAGCTAAATGAAATTTAGTAACCAAATGAATGAATTTTATTATGTATATGATATAGGTAACATGTGGCTATATATACAAGTCAATATACAAACCTTTTACTGTTTCATCTACAAGTTACTTTTTTATCTTTGATTTTTCATGCATACTTATTGATCAAAGGATAATTGTGTCTTCCAGCTATTTCCTTGTTGCCAAAGATTTGCTAAAGTATTCCCATTTTACAACTATTTCCTGACATAGTCCTTGACATGTTGAAGAAGTTCTGGTTTCTTCAATTTAATTCCACCCTATAAACTTTTAATGAGTATACCTCTCTATGCAATTAATTGTCTAAGGCTCAAGGAAGTCTGAGTTAAAACAAGATGGTACTTTTTCCCTCAAGAAACTCAAAACCTAATAGCAAATACAACATGTAAACATAACTAGACTACCACCCCACACATGCCACAACAAAAATGTTTATTTCTAAATAAAATGGTAGCACAAAAAAAACAGAGTTATAAACTGCACTTGAATATAACAGGAAACTAGTCACATAGAAGAAAAAGCCCAAGCCAAGTCTTTAAACTGAGTAGAAGTTTGCCAACCAGAAAAGAGGAAAATCACATCTCTAGGAACAGCTGGAGGATGAGAAAAAGCAAAATGTGAATTTCAACTAGCTCAGCATAGCTTAAAGACATTTTGTATTTTTTGCAGTGTTGGAATTTGAACTCAAGGCCTCACACTTGCTAGGCAGGTGCTCTACTGCTTAACCCATATCCCTGACTCTTTTTTGTAGTTTTAGTTATTTTTAAGATAGGTTCTGCTTATACCCAGGCTGGCCTCAGACCAAGATTCTCTTACCTCTGCCTCCCAAGTACCTGGGTCCACAGGTGTGTGCCACCATACCAGGCTTGATTTGGAGATAGGGTCTTAATAACTTTTGCCAAGGCTGGCCTCACACTATGGTCTTCCTGTCTCTGCCTCCAAGTAGTTGGGATTGCAGACATGCACCTCCACACTTGGCTCAACATTTTTCATTTTACAGAGTAGTAAATAAGGTTAGAGAGGATAGAGAGGTTTGCAAGGAGCATCTCTTACAAGTATTTCTATACAAGCCTTAATACATAGTGTTTCCCAAATCTAGCTGCTCATTGAAATTTTCTGTGCAAATTGCTAATATAAAATAGTCTTCAGACTTACTATATCATAATCACCTTTAAATAAACAATTTTAGTAAGTTCCCAGATAGCTGTGATAGAAATTTTATCAGTTAGGATACTCTGAGATGTGGACAACAGAAAGCTTAATAAATGGCTTAAAAGGAGATGTGTTACCTCATAAATTAAGTAACTGCAGGATAGGTCACTTCCATTGTTGAATTATTTAGTGGTTCAACAATATCAAAAAGAATTCAGATTGTTTCTGTATTTGTGCTTTGAGTGCTCCAGTGTGTCAGGTACTCCTGAAATAGGTTCAGTAGCCTTAGGCTTTATATCTTCATACAACGATGCCCAAGGAAGTAAGTCCTCTTCTCTGCTTTGTGTCTCTCTTCATGTGGGTAAGGAAAATTATTGCCTCTGCCACAGACACTTCCTTACTTCACTATCCAAACTCACATTAGATAACTCCCCTTAAGCCAGTCAGTGTCATGAGCAATGGATTTCCATGATGGCTGATCAATATTCATCCCTTGTTCTTGAGAAGGGACTGGGTTTCCATGACACACAGGCATCTAATAACTGGATTCAAAATTAAATAGATTAAGATTAGATTTTCATATGATAAAGATGTCAGATAATGCAGCTGCAATCTATGGTGTCTGCCACACCAAAGGCTATTAAGCCAGCATTTGGGCATCACTGTGTAAAAGCGGTTTAAATTAGAGGTAACCATGATAAGGTTGATGTTTTCAAAAATGGAATACATTTTTGTATTCCATTTTGTATTCCATGATACAACTATGAGTCAGATTCCTTCTATAACTTGGTAGAATAATAGTTGCCAGTAAGCTATCAAAAAGATGGCAATATTTTTACAAAAGAGAGTAATACTGATAATGAATAAGAGAAGATATTTGTGAAAGGGTTTGTATCAGATTTTAACCAGGAATACTTAGGATCACATTGAATTTTGGTGGTAATCAAAAGGAAAGACTTGAGTGTTTCTGCAAGTTTCACACTGGCTGAGTGATTGAAGCATTAGCCAAGTATCGTGAATAAGTTGTAAAGAAGAGCAGGACCATAAGACCAAATGTCACAAGGAGGCCAAGTAAGTTAAGGAGCAAGAAGTGACTATAAGCAAATTACTGCTGGCATCAAAATTGCAATTTTAATGTAGTAATAAGTGCAAAACCAAATTACAGTAAATTGAAATAGACATTGAAAAATATAAATGTAAGATAGACTCCTTTTTCAAGTACTTGATTGTGAAGGAAGAGAGAATAATTGCTCAATAACTAGAGTTGGTGAGCTTTGAGGAGGACTGTATTTGGATGGTAGCTACTTCAGTCATTACAAAGGAAAAGCCAACAGGTGGAAAAATTTTTAAATGTAGAAGAAACTACATAATTCATGGAATAAAACTCTAAAGGTATAAGATAAGTAAAGAGGATGTGCTTGGTCCTTAATACAGCAGATTGGATGCAGATTGGACCACAGGGTTTAACTTCACTAAGTGATTAATTCATTGATGAATTTATAGGTGAATGGTCTATCAGGAGGTAGGGTGTAGTTGGGAGGAAGTAGGTGGAAGGGAGGGGCAATGTGCCTTTGAAGGGTATAGCTCATCCTTCATCCCTGGTTTTTGTTCTCTCTCCCCCTCCTCTCTCTTCTCTCTCTCCTCTCTCTCCCTTCCTCCCTCCTTCCTTCCTTCCCTCCCTCTCTCCCTCCTCTTTCTCTCTCTCCCCCTCCTCTCTTCTCTCTCTTTCCTCTCTCTTCCTTCCTTCCTTCCCTCCCTCTCCCTCCTCTTTCTCTCTCTCTCCCCCTCCTCTCTTCTCTCTCTTTCCTCTCTCTTCCTTCCTTCCTTCCCTCCCTCTCTCCCTCCCTCTCTCCTTCTTTATCTCTCACCCCTCCTCTCTCTCTCTTTCTCTCTCTCTCTCTCTCTCTCTCTCTCTCTCTCTCTCTCTCTCCCTCCCTCTTCTTCCCTCCCCTACCCCACTTACTGACTACCATGAGGTGAGCAGCCTCCTCCACCACATGCTCTGAACCCCATGATGCCCTGCCTTGCCTCAGACCCAAAGCAGTGGAACCATGAACAAAAATAAATCCTTCCTTATTTAAGTTGTTTTTTATAAATACTTTGTCACAGCAACAGAAAGCTAACACAGGAACTTTTTTAGGCAGTGGGAGAAGGACTCTTCCATAAAAACTAAAGTGAGGCAAAGATGGGAGCAGATGTAGATAAATTTAAAAGGTGACAAAACTAAATTAAGGAGATTGAAAAGGTCTTTATGGAATACAAGAACATACACTGAACGAGAGAGCCCATGGGGTAGGGGTTATGATAAAAGTGATTACATTTGGGATATTACTGTGGACAAAGGGAGAGCAAGCTGAGATTTATTAAGAAATTGACAGCACATCTGAATATAATTTAAAACTAGACATTTCATGATCAAACTCCTGTAGTCAGAGAATTAGGGTATAATTTTTAAACAATCTCTTCCTTTCATACTGGAAGGTGCCCTTGCTTCACATATAACATAAATTGCCTATGTACTACATAATAGCACATACAAAATCAGAATATCTCCTGTGATGGTAGGTCAAAATAAAAGTTGTCAAATTGTGGTATTACAAATCTTGATCTGAATCAAAAATCCAAGAGCAAATTTGAACTCTCTGAGTTTTACTTTGATTTATAAAATTCTCCAGGGAGTCTTGATTCCATAAATCAAAGGAGATTATATTGGAGCATTTTCAACTGTAACAAATATAACTTTGCTCCAATCCTTTAAACATTATTTAAAACACAATAGCACTCATACTGGACCCTTATTGCTATATTCAGCAATCTTAAAAGTCAGAAGATTATTTAAAATTTCTCATTATGAATATATTGCAAAATTAATGTAAAACATCAAGTATAGCTGAAATAAATTATCTTCAAGTATATTCAGGGCACACCTGTAGGTGAAGCATCTTCTCTACATTTCAGAGATAGGCACATATCATTCATGTACAAATATCTAGAATAAGTTGGTTTCTTATTAATAATTGCAGAAGAAAAGTTCTTTATATGTGGGATAGACATGATTTGGTATATTGTGATATTTGAAAACCATTTCTGATAATCAATATGGATCAGAGTAAATATTTTCTAAGATCAAAGTTCTTTCTATGAGATCTTTTGATTTGATGAAGCTAATGGATGTAAAGAAAGTCAAGTTTTCTCACAACCAGATTTGATTGTTTACTATTTTTCATGCAATCAATAGTAAATTAAAATAATTTAAGATATTTGCTCAAATAAACCTAGGTTTATTTTCAGCTCATTTTCTCTGACTAAACTAGACGTATGGTTCAATTAGTGGAGTGCCTGCTTTATAAGCATGAAGCTCTGAGTTCAAACCCCAGTCCCACCAAAAAAATAAATAAATCAACATTTTCTCTGACTATAAAACAGAATACGAATGATTGATTCTTACTTAAAATTACATGATGTTTTCATAAGAACTTGATATTTAAAAATCTAACCTATATTATAGGAAAATAAGTAAACGTGAATTTTACTAAGTGAAAAAAGTGCAGCATTTTAAATAAAATTTACACTAGTTTGCATTCTCACTCTGCCATTTATAGACATCTGGTCTTGGGCTGGCTGTTGAAACTCTCAGCCTCCTTTCTCCCACTTTCACTATGAGGACAAGAGTTATCATAGCGATAACTGTGAAAGTGGTATATGTTAGCATAGGCTTCACGTGTAACACAGGGCATCATACCTGACACTGAGTTGGCAAGTGAAAGTTATTATTTGAACATAACAAGGGAACTATAGATCAGATCCAAAAGCCCATGTTTGCCAATTGTTGTACCTAACTATACTAAAGCTGGTCTAAGTTTCATGATGTAGTCATTGGGCTAAATTATGACAATGTTTGGCCTGAAGGGAATTTAATACAATTGATCATGATGGTACAAAGGAAGGCAGAGGATCAAGGTCCAGGGCAAAAGTTGAGATTATGGGAAGGAATGAAGGGCTTTTAATAGGGAAATGGAGAATAAGGCATGAGAGACCCAAGGGCAGGTCTGATTGGCAGTAATTGGAAGATGTGATGTCAACACCTAATTGTGGCAAAGTGATATCCCCATAAGTGAGGTACTGGAGGGGGAGTGGAGTCCAGATAAAGTACTCAGATGGTACAGAGATAGCAAATTTCTTATATGGTCGTCAGCAGGGTTATGTAGTCCTCTAGGTTACCCCAGTAAATAACAAAAGGAGGAAGATTAAATTTTTGAGATTTATTAAGAGAATGGCTGGGTGAGCATTTATTTCAAAAGGGTTCCACATTTTTAAGTATTTTCAAAAATTTAGGAACCTTAGAGATACAGGGCTAGTAAATACAGCTTTAATTTTAGTGCAAGTCAATCTCTCTAAGTGAACTCTTGTCATTATATAAGCCTACAAGCCAAAATGAGGTACCATTTCCTCAATATTAATTACAATTGCCAAATTAATTGAGAAGGGATTCTATACAACAGTAATCTGTGAATCAATCCCGCACTTCAGTAAACTCTTGAATCTGTCAGACTTTCTAATATTCACATGTAGAATCTTCAATGAGAAATCATCATACAGATCCATATAACTGTGTTTATTACTACTTTACCTTAACCCATCACTGGTTCACTTCTGGTGTGACAGCAGTGGTCATTCGCCACCACTCCACACCATTGGTTATAATCAGAGATGGGGATAAGACTGTGCAGTACACAAACAGGCCTGACACCTGGATGCTGCAGTACCATCCCTTGGAGAAAATCTCTGGTCATCTCTCCAAGCCATTCCCTCAGTTGCTTCCTTAGGCAAGCACACCCACCAAGTGACATCTGCATGTTCACCAAGAGTCACAGCTCTGATTAACACTTCTTCGGCTCACATTTTCTGATGGCATCTACAAGGACTCTAGAACACCAACCTGCCCAGATCGCAAACTTTTCCTGTAGGATCATGAATTAGAAATGTGTAGGACAACATATTCCCCTGAGTCGAGTTCTGGGAACCAGTTGAAACTCCCACTTGGAAATCTGTGGCTAAATATGAAATATATCTTGGTATACAGAGTTGAGTAGGGATCCCACCTGTGTTACTTCAGACTAGTTGTTACAGCACCACTTATCAACTAATTTTTCCTTTCCTCATTGATGTGAAGTTACATATTTATTACCTAAAAAATTACAACCCCTTGATCATAAAATTATAAATCTGAGACTAAATGTTTCTGTTTAGAACAAATGCCACTGTTCAGCTTACTTTATAAATGATCTGAGAACAATATTAATTCCAGGTAGGATCTTCCCAAACCACTCAGCACATTACAAGACTACAAACTCCATCACTTGGTGCATGATCTGAAAATATACAATGTTAAAATATAATGAGAAAACTAATTAGGACATAGCCTTAATTTCTTTCTCTGTAGCTTTTTTTAAATTTTAATGTGTCTCATTAATTCATATTCAGAAATCTAATGTGTACTTTTCTGCCTTCTCCATAACTGATAAAAGCTCCACACTCTGGTTCGAGTTGGCAGTTTGATTGGATGTAACTGAGTTCCACTGCTTTACATAATCACCACAGCAGAAGGTGCTGGCAGGTCTATCACTCTCAATTCTCGCCTAAATTATTCAGATGCTATTGGTTCTTTTAAGTCCTCCTCTGTATCATTCCTTATAAATTGCTTAGAAACCCAAGATTGATTAACTATCAGAATGAGGGAAAATGCCAGGAAAGGCTATCATACTCAGATGCTCTTCAATTAGCCTATGAAAGGCTCCCGCTTGCCCAGCAGTGCAGCCTTGGATATGTTCCTTAACTGCTCTGTGCCTCATTTTCCTCACCTGTAATAAGGGAGAATAACAGTATCTACCTAACATGATTATCATGAAGGTTAAACATGCTAATATCTGTAAAACATTTAGAAAACAGTTTTGTACATACTAAGCACTATATGACTTTATTATCTAATTGAATTTATCTTTAACATCCTATGCTTATATTTTTTGCATTAATGTTATTCCTTTACCCATGGTCCTGACCCAAAAAAAATCCTATTTCAAAAAAAGAAAAGATTTAATGAACACTGGGCATGGTGGTACATGCCTGTAATCCCATCACTTAGAATGCTGTGGCAGGAGAATCATGAGTTCAAGGCCAGCTAGGCTGCATAGGGAGACCTGGTATGAGAAAACAAACAAAGAGATTTAATGTCATCAAAGTGAAAATACCCAATAAGGTTATTCTCATTGCTCTTTCCATGGTGATTTGGATTTAAATAAGCAATAAAGGGATTAATCTCCAATGTACAATCAAATGTTTAGAAGGAGTTAGGTAGCAGGAGAACAAGGTACACAGATGGAATTTTCCAGCATTTCTGAAACCACATCATAAAGCAGCAGCCACATATAAGACAAAGATAAAAATTTTCAGAGGCAGAAAGGTCAAGTCTACCACTTATATAATTCAATAGTACAGTATTTCCATTAGGTTCAGAATAAACTGGATGAACTTCCTGAAAAGCAATGCTGCTGTTTCAGTCAGTAAAAGTCTGAGAACCCAATTGAAGGTATGCATAATCCAGCCTTTCTGGAGGCCAGCTCCCTGCCACCAAAGCCTGGCTGACTCTCCCAGGAAGACAGACCGATAGCACAAACACACAGTGAGAAAGTGAAGAAGCAAGTGATGCCACACACAGCCTAAACTAGAGCTTCTCAAAAACTCAGTCTCATCAGAAAGCAGCTGTCCTGGGAGAGAGCAAAGTCTTCACTTCTCTCCTCACACTCTATTCCCCACATTCTCTGCAAGACCAGAAGACTGGGAAAATCAATTATGTGGGAACCTCACTGAACATTATTCTTGGTCACTCCTGCCTCCCACACTCTTCTCTACTTTTTCTGAACTGACAGAAATTCCTAATGCTTGTTCCTTTCCCATATCTGCCTATAATGTCCTGTGAACTCTTCAGTTCAGGGTAACTAGCTCCCCACCCGATCTTGTATCAGCCTCTTTGTATTCAGGACCTAACTGAGAACTCAGGTTCTCTGTGGACGCATACGTCTCTCCATCACTCTCAAATGTGAGCAACTCATCTCTCTATGCCTGGTGTAGTGAAGATAATGCTTCCAGACTGTTTTCTCTTTCCTGTTGGTTAAAATTCTTGTTACACTGAGGGTGCCACCTATCCAAAATGCTCCATCAAGGTCATCTCTTGACCTTCACTCCCCAATACCTCCCTCATTCAGTGACTTGTTCATTCTTTCATTTTCACCATAACTGTCACCCTCCTCATACCTTCATTCTCTTCTTATTTGCCCCATAATAAGTGGCAGTCATGCCACTCCTATCCATGCCAGCATCCTTAATTCCCTGTCTCCTGCTCCACACACTCCTGGCAAAACCCCAAACAGGATGCATTGCTAAATTCAATAATTTGGATCTTGTTGGAGAAAATGGCAAAGGTTATGATGCATAGATGACACATGCAGGAATTTCAGGTGCTCAGGGTTCTTGACCTGCTCTGAGAATGAAAGCACAGGTGGACTCCAGCAACAGAGGTTGGAAATATGTTATTTGTAGAGAAGAGAAGAGAAGGACTGCATGGTGGGGAATGCAGGGGGACCTGGAAACCAGTGGTCCTGTGGATTGTGTTGGGGATTGGGTTTTATAGCCTTTTTGAGTGTTGCCTGAGGGCAGAGATGTCTCTTAGGTGCAGACAGAAGTTTCCTGGAAAGGAGAGGTGTCTCCTTGACCACTTATCACCTTCTGGGACCTCCTGAAGTCCATCCTCCAATTCCCACCTCTCAATCGTCACCCTAACTGCTGTTAGAGATAGGGACAACAAAGTCTATTCAGTAACTGCTTCCTGCTGACAGGGGGCGATGAAGGGGCCGCAGCATCAGGGCTGACCACTAGAGGAGTTGTCAAGGGGACCATGATAGTAGTTGTTTTCATCTCCATTTGTAGTTTGATGGATTCTAGGCGAGAAGAAACAAACCTGACAAGTAAGTTTAAAATGCAAGACCCAAACACAAACAAGAGAATAATGGCAACTATAGGCCCCAGAAAGGGTAGAAACCAAGTCCTGGAGGGAAGCCAAGATTTTATTTGGTCCCATACCCGTGTAGAAACCTGAGTTTCAAGAGATTGCTCCCAGAGCCATTTAGCCTGTTGGAGAATGTAGTCTGCATGTTCCTCTACAATGCCTGATGTGTTACGTATGTGCAACAGGAAGGATTGACCATGGCACATACCCCTCCTTGTTTAGCCAAAAGAAAATCTAGGGCCAGGTGGTGGTCCATGACCATACAGGCAAGGGACGACAAAGACCTTTGCATGTCCTTAATGGCAAGGCCTACCTGGTCTGAGGTGCCCTCTACTTCTTTGGTTAGGTTTTCTGCAGTTACATAATGGGCAATCATCCTATAGCTGATTCCAGCAAGGGCTGCAATTAATGTTGTTATCCTTAAAACTATTAGGGTAATCTCCCTTTTATCCCCATGGAAAGCTGTTCCTGTTCATTGGGAAAATTCAGTTTGTTGTATTATGGTATTACTTCAAAAAGAGATATGCTCAGGATCGGATATAAGTTGGGCAATTGCCCAATTTCCTCGAGTATGGTTTTGGTATAGACATGGCATCCAAAAGACCTGGTCCTTTTTCCATGACCTCCCTACAAAGAGATATCCCTCCTCAAGGCATAAAATACCTTGGGTGTTGTTAGCCTGGGCCTGGGAGCTGTCTCCTGGAAACAGGTAGTCAGAGACATTAAGGCTGCTGATAAAAGATGGAGGCACAGGGGGTGGAAAGGTAGAGTTATACAGTTTTCTTAATCCTGTTATATATTTTATTAAGATAAATTTGTCATGGCCAGTAGTAAGTATGCAATAAGAGTTTTTACCATTGAGGTTTGAGGACTTGGTCAGCTGGGAGACAAGTCTTCCATTACAAGCATTAGCCCTAAGCACACTGAGGCTCATAAAAGTGCAGCTCTTAGAGTTATTTGTACAGCACCAGCTGGCTGTCAGATGATAGTCACCTTTAAGGGTGGTGAAGTCAAAAATGTATTTTGGGGATTTAGGCCCTAGGTTTTTTATAGTATGGTATATAGCTGTCTGGGACAGAAACATTAAACATTCAAATTTTTGTCTGAGAAATGAACCCAAGCCAAGAGTAAGACATAGTAGGCTGGTTCTTCCATAGGACCCCTGTAAGAAGAACCATGACACAGGAGAAGTTATCTGGCCTGAATATCAAAGAAGGGAAGGGACCCTCAGTGACATTTAATGGGACCCATGCCAGCAGGTGAGCAGCTGTCGGTCTCTCATAGCAAAGCCAGGAGTCCTTCAGTGGAGATTTTGGACTCTAGAGAGTCCCTGAGTTACTTCTGCCTTAAATGCAAGCCCATTATCATTTTGAAGGCTTTTGGGGAGCCCAAAGAGAGGGATTATTTCTGTGATTAGAACTTGGACCACCTCCCTATCATGTTCTGTACTGCAAGGTAAAGCTTCCACCCATCCAGTGAATGTATCCACAAGTACTAACAGTAGCTTTGTTTTGGTCCCCCTGGCATATGGGTAAAGTCTAGCTGCCAGTCTTCCCCAGGATAGGATCCTTGTCTCTGTGTCCCTGGCATCTGGAGTCTTTTATTATTGGGATTTTTTTGGCACATTTCACATTCCTGTACAACTTATTGGGTGGTTCCCTTAATTTAGTCCCCCCAAATATTTTGTTGGCCAAAACCAAAGTATTGTCTAAGCCCAAATCATAGAGTTGATGGAGAGTCTTGAGAATTCTCCACTGGAGTGCCTCAGGGAGCCATAACTTTCCTCCAGGGGACACCCACCAGCTTCAGTGATCTAACTGGTACCCTTGCTCTGAGGCTTGCTTACTTTACTCTGACCAATAATGTGGTCTCTCTGTGGGAAGGAGAGTCCTCTCCCAGAGGAGAGGGCCAGCTATATATTCCTGCATGGCTGCTCGTTTAGCTGCCTCCTCTGCAGCTTTGTTTCCCTTTGCTATCTTATCTTCCCCTTTTTGGTGACCTTTACAGTGAATCACTGAGACCTCTTTAGGCAACAGAACAGCATCTAGGAGGGCTAGTATGTCATGAGCATGTCTAATGGGAGATCCTGTTGTAGTTAGCATTCCCCTTTCCTTCCAGATGGCTGCATGAGCATGCAGGATCAGGAAGGCATACTTAGAATCTGTATAGATGTTGACTCTCTGTTCTTTTGACAGTCTCAGGGCTTCTGTTAGGACCACTAATTCTGCCAGTTGAACACTTGTATTAGGAGGAAAAGGACCTGATTTGAGGATGCCAAATTCTGTCACAACTGCAAACCCTGCCTGTCTGACA